ACAGCACTATGTAGTTGGATACGACAGACATTACATTTTCTAATTGCATAGCTTTTGCACATAGATTTTCTTGATGGATGATGCGATGAGATATAAATAATTTAGAAACATTCTGTTCTCCCATTTTTTGTTTGAATAAGGAAATGACTCCCTTATTTTTTCCTGTCATTGCTGCCGCAACACTTCAGAAAATAATATTCAATTTAAACTAGACGAATTACATCGAAAAATATTTATTTATAATTTCTTCTAAACATCTCGCGGGCCGGATAGAAACTGTTCGCGGGCCGTAGCTGGCCCGCGGGCCGGGGGTTGCCCACCGTTGCAATAGAACAATGTAAGTCCGTCGACCATTTCCGATTGAAGATCGAATTAAACTTCGATTTTGATCTCTCCCGCGCCCCCGAAAGGTTTCGAATTGTCATCATGTGACGAGGAGAGACCAATCGGAATGGGGAATCTGAGAAAAAAACAGATAAAACCCCGGGAATCCAAGGACGCGACGGCTTCTTCTCCCGAAAGTTCCAAATGATGGATCTATTGTAGTGTGTTGTGTCTCGCACCCATCTTTGTCTCCATCTCCCGACCTCCGATCGACATCTTTCCGTCAACGGAGGTCGACAGCATTGTCCGGAGTCATCGAGACGTCGATGAAATGGGTCCTTCACGAATCAAGGACACTTCTTCAAAATGGGGCTATCGTGGAAACGAGAGGAAGACCCAGAGGCTGCAACCGCCGCAGGACTTTCAAGATCGCGGACATCTTGTAAGCTTCTTTCATGTTTAACCCTTTTAACCTCTCGAAATGCCGAACCATACAGGCGTAGGTTCACTCGGGTAAATTCGAAGGTTATTGGGGGAAATTTACTAATATTATGTAAAAAATTCGTATAAAATCGAATTTCAGTAATAAAAATATAAAAACAAAAAATTCTAATATGGAAGTATGTGTACTTTTATTTGGTATATTATTTATCTGCGTATATTTTTTATTATTTTTTTAAAAAATTTGTATTTGTTGGCTTACGTTAATGAACTGTAAATTAATTGCCATTTTATCTAATTTAATTAAATTTTATATCTGATTAATGTACTATTTGATAGTATATTATTAATTCCATGTTATATTAAAGTATTAGTTTATTACAGTTATCGTAAATTATTTTAATTTTAATTTTTGTAAATTTTCCCAACGGTTTTTTGTTTATCCAACAATCGAATCGACATGCTGCCATTTTGAGTACGTTATTTGTACGTCTATTCTACATGTAGGTATGTTCTTTCATATACATTCGGTTTGTTATAATATATAATTAGTTTATTTAATTAATTGGTAGATATTAATAATATATAAATTGCAGAATTTTAGCGATATTACAACTTTTTGTTTTTAATTTTACTTGTATTGTCAAACTTTTAGGCTTACGGGAAAGCGGCGCCGAACGTCACACGTACACGTTTACACGTTTAAAACGTGCGCCTCAACCTCTCTAATAANTAATTTATAAATTGCAGTATTTTAGCAATATTACAACTTTTTTTTTAAATTTTACTTGTATTAAATTAATTTGTATTTTAATCCTATTTTAATTCATATATATTCATTTTAGAGTATTATTAAGTTTTAGTTTTAGAGTTATATTTATTTGTTTGGATTTTCCTTTGTCCTTTTAAACGGAATATTTAAACGGTGACGTGAGACTAGTTTTGACGTAGCGGAAGTTGTGTTCACGTGACTGGGGTACGGGCTTGTTTCGTTCTTTATATTCTTTTATAAATGTTTCAAATGATTTATTTTTTAACAAACGAATAAGTTATGATATGTTTGTATTAAAGTATATCAAAAACGTTTTTATTTACAATGCAAATGTTGTTTTTAATATGAATAATTCATATATATTCATTTTAGAGTATTATTAAGTTTTAGTTTTAGAGTTATATTTATTTATTTGGATTTTCCTTTGTCCTTTTAAACCGAATATTTAAACGGTGACGTGAGACTAGTTTTGACGTAGCGGAAGTTGTGTTCACGTGACTGGGGTACGGGCTTGTTTCGTTCTTTATATTCTTTTATAAATGTTTCAATTGATTTATTTTTTAACAAACGAATAAGTTATGATATGTTTGTATTAAAGTATATCAAAAACGTTTTTATTTATATTATTTTCGAGGCAAATGTTTTTAATATAAATACTATAAATATTTAAACATGGAATTGGCTCTATAATTAAGATAATTACGTTTTATTGTTATTTTGTAAGAATTTTAGTAAATTTCTTAATAAAATTGTATTTTATTCACGATTTATCGAAATACGTTTGAATAATTCAAAATATTTGCGATAGATGGCGGGACATTATAAAAATAATATAAAATATAAATGACTATTTTAAACAAAAGATGGCGCTGTAGAAAATTTAAACTTAGATATACAGTAGAGCCTCGATTATCCGACTCAATTGCGGACTGGGGTTGGTCGGATAATTGAAAAGTCGGATAACCGAAAAGTATGAAAAAATCCATTATTAGTGTAGTATATTATTATATCCCATGTAATTAGTATATTAGTATATCGCTATTAACCTATTTTGCGTTGAATTTTCATCGATGTTAAGCCTAACAAAAATTTTTTAAAATAATAATCGTCGCTATTGTA